TCTTATTGAAAGTGAAATGTCTATTGTATCCGAGTTTAAGTTATGTGTCCCATCTTCTATGAGGGACAAAATTGTCTTTCTTGTAACTTAAGTTTTATGAATAAAAGTCAAGTGGGTCAGCTAGGAGAGTGACTTTTGAACATCCTCTCTTCTAGTCTGGCCGAACACTCTTCTCCTCTCCTTCTTCTTTCTCCTCTTTCTTCTGTCTTCTTCTCTACTTTGACCTAGAAACAACTAGGGTTTATTCACAAAGGTTACTTTAAATGTGCCTCTTTCTTTAAGTCCCTTTGCTCTTCCCTAGGACATTTGGGTTTTTCAACTAAGGAGATCTGGTCTAGACCTGTGCCTCCTAAAACTATTATTTTCTGTTGGGAGATGTTCTATAGGAAGATCAACACTTTGGACTGCTTGCAGAAGAGAAGGCCTTCCATGTGTTTGTCTCCTAACTGGTGTGTACTTTGCAGGGCTAATGGTGAGGATTGCTCCCACTTACTTTTAACACCTATTCTTTTTTTGCTACTATTTGGGGTTGGATCTTTGCCTTGTTTGGGTGCAGGTGGAATGACTACAGCCATATATCAACTCTTTGACCCCTCTTTTGTGTGGCCCACAAAAACTGGTAAAACAATGTGGAGGTGCATTAAAGCTGCTGCTTTGTGGACAATTTGGGAAGAAAGAAATGCGAGGCTATTCCAAGAGAAGGAGAAATATTTTGACTGTAAAGGATTGTATTTTGACTAGGGCAATCCACTGGCTGAGATCTTTGGACTCCTTTCACACATTCTCTTTTGATGACATTTGGAGGAACTGGATAGCTGTGGCTAGTAGCAGTACTAGTAAGAACAGGGTACTAGCTGTGTGGGTGCCTCCTTCCAAAGGCTGGACAAAGTTGAATTTTGATGGTAGTAGCCAAGGCAACCCAGGTCCTTCAGGGATAGGAGGGGTCTTGAGAGATAAAGACAGCAATATTTTAGCCTTATTCTCAGGCCCCGTAGGTATAGGAGATTCTATTAGAGCTGAGCTTCTAGCAGCAGTACAAGGTATTCAGATTGCAGACCAGTTAGGAGTTCAGAATCTGCTTATTGAAGGAGATTCCGAAGTTGTGGGTTGGCTAACAAATCCAGATTCAGTTAATTGGTGCTACGGGGACCTTCTGAGGAAAGTTAATTGGTTTTCAAGGAACATGACTTTTACTTCTCAGTGGGTGGGTAGAACAGCTAATACCATAGCGGGTGGGTTAGCTAAGAAAGGAGCCTCAAGGGAACATTTATTCTGGGCAGCTCTGTAAATTTTCGTTTTCTTGTCTGATGTAATACAATGTTATTGTTTAGGAGAGGTACCAGCTCGTGCCTCTCCTTGGGCAGTTTGTATTGTATTATCACATTGATCTTTCTTGAATAAAATCTTACTCATTTATCAAAAAAACAGGGTCCATACAAGATGGTTCATGTAACACATTATTCTGGTTAAGGCCATGAGGAAGGGATATTGATCCCTAGCCTGCAACTTAGGAGAATGATCCATTTTCAAGCCTCAATTTATCCCTTCCTAACAAAAGGCTATAAGTCTGAAAAAAATTTGGCTTACCGGTCATGCGGTTAGAGGCCCTTGAATCAATGATCCAAGGGGAATCAGTGGTAGTGGTGACATGGAATGCAGAGGTCGCATTACCTGATGTAGACGCAAATGAAGTAGGAGTACTAGTAACCAAACTGTCCATTTTCCGTAAAACCCTACAATATGACTCCCAAGTGACTTCGGAAGGAATTCATGATATCTTCCTTGGGGTTAGAACCAGTGAAGTGGTCCTGAGTAGTACCAACAGTCTGAGTATCTTGGGTTGCCACATTTGCTGCATTTACATCACTCACGACATCATGATTTATGTGACAAGTTGGGCATGATTGACATCTATGTCCCAACTTGAGCGGGAGTGTTAAAAGCCGATTTTCTCTCTCTCTCTCTTCTTCTCTCTTCCTTTCTTCCCTCCTGCACAACAAGTTCTACGTTGAAGGGGAAATTTCTCAAGGTATAAGCTCAACATTCATTGCCCTAATTCTCAAAAAGAAGGAAGAAAAAACTCCAAAGGATTTCAAACCAATAATTCTAGTGGGAAGCCTCTACAAGGTTATATCAAAGGTCTTAGCCGGAAGACCAAAAAAGGTACTACCTTTGGTCATCTCACAGCATCAATGTGCCTTTGTTGAAGGAAGACAAATTATTGACCAGGTGTTGGTAGCAAATGAATTTGTATCAGAGGAGAGGAGGAAAGGGAGGGGCTTGGTGTGCAAGTTAGATTTAGAGAAGGTGTCTGACTTTGTGGACTGGTCGTTTCTCTTGGAAATTATGAGGAGGATCGGATTTGGGGAGCGGTGGAGGATGTGGATAAGGGATGCCTTAGTTCAGTACAGTACTCGATCATGACTAATGGTGTGTCTAGAGATTAGTTTCTAGTGAAAAGAGGATTAAGACAAGGGGATCCCCTTTTCCCCTTCCTACTCACTTTAATTGCTAATGTCCTAAGTAGGATGGTCATGGAGGTTGATCAGAGAAACTTATTTAGAGGGTGGAGGATAGGAAGACTTGAGGTGACTATCACTCATTTGCAGTTTGCAAACGACATCATTTTATTCTGTGAGGGAGGTAATCAGGAGAGTATAAGACATTTGTGTGAGCCCATCACTTCCTTTGAATCACTTTCCAAGTTGAAGGTAAATTGGAGAAAAAGTTGTATAGCAGATTAACTTGGAAGATGAAAGTTTGAGAGAGCTAGTTGAGATTTTGGGGTGTGAGGTCAAACAATGGCCACTAGAGTACTTAGGGTTACCTTTGAAAGGAAGTCCAAGATCAGAAGTCTTTTGGAAGCCAGTAGTGGAAAGGTTTACAAGGAAGTTGGCACTTTGGAAGAGGAATTATTTATCCATAGGTGGGAGAATAACCCTGATTAGAGCAACTCTAGCAAACCTACCAGTATATTTCCTTTCAACCTTTAGAATTCTAGCTAGAATGGCAGGACAATTACAAAAACTTATAAGGGATTTTCTCTAGGAACCTGGGGAGGAAAAGAGGGACCACCTAGTAAAATGGGAACAAGTCAGCAAAACAATGGTTGGGTTATGGCATAAGGTGAACCTAGGGAACTTAGTTCACAGGAATACTTCTTTGTTAGGAAAGTGGCTTTGGAGGCTTCCATTGGAAAGAGACAGGTTGTGGCATAAGGTGATAGAAAGCATTCACGGGTTGATGAACAATGGCTGGGTTGCAAAGATAGCCCTCACATCTTCCTTGAGATCTTCGCGGAAAGCAATACAAGAGGGTATATCCTATCTTTGGTGTGGGTTGTGGTTCTAGGGTGCTTTTTTGGGAAGATCTTTGGTTGGATGATACTCCTCTTTATTCCCTTTTCACTAATCTTTATTCAGTTTCTAACTACAAGTTATAACCCATTTCAAATTTCATCACCTTTTCTCACTCTAGATTGATTTGGGATTTTGGTTTCAGAAGGGGTTTAAGGGATAATGTGTGTGAGTC